TCATGAAGAGGGATATGGGAAAACTAGTAAGTAAATGGTTTATTACTTTTATTTATTAATCATTTGTTTTAGTTTTGATGTAAAATTATAAAGTGAGTGCCATTTTGGGTTTGTATTTAGTGTAATCAATGAATATTTGTGGTACAGTGTTTCAGATTGAGGAATTGGCATGTCAAAATATACGTCAATCATCGAAAGATAATGATTCAGATGTTGTGCATGCTATTCGTCATGATCATGAAGAGGAGATATGGGAAAACTAGTCAGTAAATGGTTTATTGCTTTTGTTTCTTAATCATTTGTTTTGGTTTTGATGTAAAATTATAAAGTTTGAGTTCCATTTTGGGTTTGCATTTGGTGTAATCAATGAATATTTATGGTACAATGTTTCAGATTGAGGAATTGGCATAGAAAAATGTATAATGTCTCTATTTCAGGAATCTACAAAATATGGTTCTGTAATACAGGTGCAAACAGCAGTACTAAAAAAATTAACCCCTCAGTTTAACTTAAAACTGAGTTAATAACATTGAGTTATCACCTCGGTTGTACAAAACACCGAGTGTTAATATTGCACACACTATCCAGTTCTAAAATAAATAAAAATGCTGATGTTGGGGATCAAAACCACGTGTACATAACTAACCCCTTGGATTTTAAACAATCGAGGTGATAAGGGATAACTTTTCATGGCGTCCTTCATCACCTTGCTTCCGTAGCCGAGGTCAAACGCATTTTGCATCCTAGATAAGATGCATTATTTATAGTAGTGCAAGGTGATGATATATTCAATATCCCACTTGATATTTTCAGAGATACATCTTCAAATATATCACTGAATGATTAAATGATAAATCTCAATGAAAAACTCTTGGTAAATAGGTTCATGGGTGTTTTCAAAGATTATCTCTGAATACACCCTTGAAATATTTGTAGATGCATCTTTAAACCAAATTTTAGCATAAAATGAGATGACTGCTTGATTTATGAAGGATGATATGATTCATGTGAATCTGAAGATGCATCCCCGAAAATTTTTGAGGACAATTTTGGGTTTTCAGAGATGTCACCTACATCGTAAGCCTCACCCACATCATAAGGGTGGAAAAATAAATTGCCTAGTATCAAGATGAGAACCGTGTTTGCCATTTAATGAGACATTTAGCCACATAGTATGATATCATTTATTATTTTTTTTATAAAATTTATTGTATTGTGTTTTCTAATTAATATTTTTTTAAAATTTAAGTTGAGGTAAAAAATAGGATAAAAAAGTATTATTTAAAAAAATAAAACACCATAGCAAAATGGAAAGAAAAGTAATTTTAAAGAATTTAACATTGTTGCGTGTTCAAAGTCATGATCGAATATAAGACCTCTGGTTAAGCTGAAAGATATCCCTTATTAATAGAGTTTAACATTGCCATTATATTTTTTTAAGTACTTTTTATAAAAATAATGATATCATTAACTAATATTTCAACGATGACATCATTATTTATTATTGTGAAAATTCACTCTGCTCCAACCAAACAATAAGTTATGTATAAAATTAGATAAAATAATAAACAAATTTATAACTTTTCAAGAAATAAACAAATTTCCGGGAGAAGGGAAAAGGCATAATAATATTGAGTATTGACGCGTAAGAAGTTGTGGATGTTGGTGAGCCAACTCTTTTGCTAGCTGACTGTCGGAGAGAGGTCCCCATATTCCTCTCGTGGTGCATGTGACCCCCTCACTCTCATTTCCTCAACTTCCTTTCCATCCTCCCAAAAAGTCTATCACTCTCATTCATTCATTCGTTCTTCTTCTTCTTCTTCTTCTTCTTTCATAAAACAAAACCCAAATAATCAAATTCCTCCCTCTATCTTTCTCTATTCTGGTGTCTTCGCTAGCATATTGATCATTCCACGCTTTCTATAACAAATTCATCCAGATTCAAACGCTTCTCAGATTCGGACATAAATGCTTCGATCTTCTGTTGGACGAAGGTGAATTTTCCATTTATTTATTTATTTATTTATTTTGGTCATTCTATTATCGATTTTCTTGCTCCTATTTTTCTCGCAATTTTAATTTCTAACCTTTTTTTATGAATCTCTTTTGGCAACACATAAACCAAATTATGAACATACATCACCAGATTGTACTTGAAAATTAAGATCAAACTCATTTATGTTGCATAAGTGAAAAGAGCAAAAGAGTGCAAATCAAAGCTAAAAAGCATTAAAGGGTGGGCAAAAAAACATACCCATGCTACCAAGAGTTCCCAAATCACTTCTCCATATTGAGTAACAATTTCCTTACTTTCTACATTTAGGAACCCTTAAGCTCCAATAACATGGATGATTTAAGAATACATAACTTAACTATAAAATGAATTGGGGAGTAAAATATAGTACTGATTATTTGTTGCCAAAATAATAATCTATATCATTATCGAAATCATTATAATAGAGAGTATTAATGAAAGGGGAATTGTTATTATTATTCATGACGAAAACATAAAATAAATAACATAAACATATTCAAAATATTTCTCAGAACATATAATCAAATAGTTGATTAAATACCCAAATAATTCATTAAATACCCAAAGATATGGTGATGATGTAAAGGGAAGAGAGACATATTGAAGAGAGATGAGAAGATGGCAGAAAGAAAAGTGAGCACACACCATAAATTCTATGCCATCATTGATAACGCGAAAATACATAGCTTATTCGACCCAATTTGCATAAATAAAATTACCGTTTTATCTCAATTATGTTGCATTATATTGACATTTAAAGTTTGTTTCAGGTAATCATTTCATCCAAGACCTACATGAGAAAAAGAGAAGAAATAGAAAAGAAACGAACTCAAAATCAGATAAACAACAAAAATAGCAGAAGAATTCATATCAGAAGGCTGTGATGATCGTCACACCTTCCATTCCATCCGGCACAAGTTGAACTTGTGTGTCCCTCGACACACAAACCATTCTGATTGGCACAAGGTGGAAATATGTGTGCCTTACGACACACACTGCATGCCACTCGGCACAATCCTTTTCTGTTTAAACACGCACAAATTTCTCCATGATTCTCCATGTTTGCAAGTGCCAACGACCTACATGATTTTCCTCCTGGTCTTTCTCCACGCATGGATTTTTTGAAGCATGAAGTCACACTCCTAGATTTTCTCAAGCAGTTTTGTTACCGAAGAGGAATATAAAAGAATGACAGTTATACAAAAGGATTTCTCTTCCGCTCCTCTGCTCTCTCTCTCTCTCTCTCTCTCTCTCTCTCTCTCTCTCTCTCCCGTCTCTGCTATCTCATTTTTGTTATATTATTTTTGCATTTTCATTTTCTTTCACGCCATTATTCCAGTTTCAATAGTTCAGAGCTTTTGTTTAGGATTTAAGCAGATAAAACCTTCACTTAAACATCAATAGTTTTCTACACCAGAAAACTATTGCAACATTATTTTCTTTTCATAGCCTCCTTAACTTTGTTTTTAGTTTTATATTTTTGTTCTACATTCAAGTTAGTTTTTCGCAAGCAAATCCTGCCGATATATTATGGAAGATTGTTATAAGTACTTGAAAAGTTGCAGAATTCTGTTTTCATTATTTAATTCCAGGTTTCTTTTAATTTAATTGTATTATTGTTCTTTATTTATCATTCATGCCTAAATCATTATTTCTTTGTTATCATTTTGTGTTTGTAAAAAATAATATGTCCGGTTAATTTCCCTGATACCGGTATGTAAGGTCACAAACCGAAGAAGTTCGGTAATAAGTTGACATAAACATTTTATAAAAATACTTTTCTGGTTTGATTTCTAAATTTCAATACAAACTGTTTTGTTACGAGAGTAAGAGACAAACAAAGACTAAAATCAATAATCACGAGAGTGTGAGTTTTTAACTGGATAGTGGTCATCAAACATTGGTTTTAAATACAACGAGAGCGATTTACGGTTAATTAGAATCTATTTGTTTTCAAAAAGTATTTTTAAATGTTGAATGAAACAACGAGAGTGTTGGAATAATATAGCAAGTGTGAGTAAGTGGAGAAATAGTTCCACATTGAATAGGAATGTGGAGACTTAAGCATATATAAGTGGGAGAACCCACTCACCTATCACCTTAAGGTTTTAGGTGGATAAGTGGTGTGCCTCTCACAAAGGTGCTTGTTCCTACACTATGCATCGATGCTCCTAGTATCTTCCCCTAACATGGTATCATGAGCCCTTGGTTCGAGAAAGGGACCAGAAAGAACTTGTATTGAATGGTGCGGTACAAGTGAGGGAGCATAACTGTTGAAATAATATAGCAAACTTGTATTGAATGGTGCGGTACAAGTGAGGGAGCATAACTGTTGAAATAATATAGCAAGTGTAAGTAAGTGGAGAAATAAGTAAGTGGAGAAATAGTCCCACATTGGATCTTGCAGTTAATACATCCGATAAAATCTTAAGTATGTGTTCACTCTCTTCTGTCATTAACTTTATTCTCTCTTTGATTCAATTTAGCATCAACCCACCACTCTCCATTGATCCAATTGTAAGATCTGCAATTCATTACTCCTATTTTGGACACATACTCCACTTCAATCATACTCTATATGCATCACCTCTATATACTATCTACCATATGATAGTATAAAAATAGAATAAAAATATTACATGTCGACTATCTATTAGCTTACAAGTAGATTAGGCTACATTTCAAAATGTTGTTGCTCTATAAGAAATTTGTAATTCTTCATAATGTTACTATAAAATTATTAAACTTATGATATTATAATACATTTTTTATTTATCATTGTGAACTACAGTACTGCTGCTATGTACCATTAGTACCATAATATTATGGTAACTCAATTTTATTAAAGTAAATTCTACCCAAGTTAATTGTGTGGAAATCAATTTTGTCCATTGTGAAATCCAAACACACATAGTAAGTAGTATTGAGTATTGACGCGTAAGAAGTTGTGGATGTTGGTGAGCCAACCCTTTTGCTTAGCTGGCTGTCGGGGAGAGGTTCCCAGATCTCTCTCGTGCCGCACGTGACCCACTCACTCTCTCATTTCCTCAACTTCCATTCCATCCATCCTCCCAAAAAGCCCATCGCTCTCTTTCCTCAAACAAAAAACCCAAATAATCAAATTCCTCTCTCTCTCTCTCTCTCTCTCTCTCTCTCTCTATTCTGGTATCTTCGCTCGCGTATTGATCATTCCACGCTTTCCATAACAGATCAATTCAGATTCAAACGCTGCTCAGATTCGGACTCAAATGCTTCGATCTACTCCTGGACGACGGTGATTTCGCCACTCCTTTTTATCTTTCCGATCAATCTTTTTTCGATTTCTTGCTCGTTATTTCAATTTAACTCCGCATTGTTCTGTCCGTCGGCATTCATTATTTTATGAACTTTTTTTGTGTGATTTATAGTGAATTGAGTTGAGTTGAGTCTGTGCGTGATGTTGATAAGTCGTTTGTTTGATTCAATTTCTGTTGCGATTTTTCGTGTTGATCGGGGATTTACGAGAGCTTACTTCTATATTAGATACTTTCTGTTTTTGATATTCACTGTAATACTGATTGAATTATAGAGACATATATAATAACCAGAAACACGACACTGACATGTCGACACCAGTAATAATTTTAAAAAAATGAATAAATTAAACTTAATCATAAGTGTGGGTGTAGGTTTCAAAAACCGACAATGATACTGACACTTTTTTCAGAGGTGTCTGTGCTACGTAAGATATAAATAAGCAAATACAAGGAAATGGAACTAAAAAATCCAGAGGTCTCTGTATTGTTTTGTTTAAAACAATTGTGAAGACTATAAAAGGGAGAGATTATTTGCAAAATGGAAAGAAAAGTTGATCATGGGACTGTGTTGTCAATGGCGGATGGCAGTCCATGGCGGAGAGCCCAAGTCCCGCCATATCGGCCGCTTTGCGGCGCCGCTATTGCAGATTATGGCGGAAAAACGCGCAATAGCGGCCTATATTTACCATTGCGGCAAGCCCAAAAACCGCCATGTATATCCGCCATAGCGGTCATGGCGGGGCAATTTGATAACACTGTCATGGGAAAGGTAAGAGCTCATCGATAGTTGATTTAGCTGGGGGATTGTTGATGGAAATTGTATGAATTTTTCAGGGTCATGCTAACATGTGTGTGTAGGGTAAGTGTTAAGTTGTCTGAATATAGAAAGTTTATGTTGGAAAAAACTGAATTTTAACTTTTGAGGAATTAAATGCATAGATTCTGAGAGAATGTTTCTATATTTAGTTAATTAAAATAGAATACTGGTTGAAATGAAGTTACTTGAAAGAGGACGAATAGGAGGTTATCTTTGTTATACAAAACAAAGCATTATGAGATGTACTCTTGGAAACTTTTGTTTTATGATAAGAGTGCTTTTTTGGATGTGTAATGAATGAATACCTGTATGACAGCGACTTTTAAAGAGTGATTATGGTACTGATTCTGATAATATATCCTATGTTGGTGGTAGTGTTTGGAAAGTTAGAGGATTCCTTCTTGATTTGCCTGTAATGTTTTCAATATGTACTGCAAACCGTTGTTGAGCATGTGTGATGACTGAATCACTGTTTTCCAGGGCACTTTCGAGGATTGTTCCAAGTACCTGTAAAAGAAAGCAGAAAATTGTTTTAAATCCAATATAGAAACTATAAGTTATTTCTGGTGTGGGTTCAATGGTAGTATTTGTATTTACTATTGTATATTAAACATGGCATTGAGAGGTCTGCAGTTAGCACTAACACAAAGTTGTTAACGCCGGTTAATTACCATTCCCAATAATGGTTTTTTCATTTGAACATTTCATAGTCACCCATTATAACTTAGTGTGCATCTCATCTCCAATATTAAAGATAAGTTTCCTCATATGTGTATGTGTGTCACAATAGCCGTGTCATTGATGTGGGGTTCTTTGCCATGGTGACTCCTTTGTGTGTGTCTGTTATTAATGGGAAAGTGTTGAGCGGAAATCGTCTATAGAAGGTCTTGATAGTGAGCTTTAATTTAATACAGATTATATTCTCTTTTGAGACCGAGGGTTGGATACGTCTATACAGGTTTTGTATTCAACATTATAAAAATCTCAATCTTAATCTTAAGATCTTACAATTATGCGGTCCCACGGCTTGCTAGCGATCTTGATCGTGAGTAAGATTGCATTTCGGTGAAATTGTGAGTGAAAAAAATGTAGAAAGAAGGATGCTGCCACAAAGAGAGACGAAGATTTCAAAAACTGTGCTGATGTTGGAATAGAAAGGAATAAAAAGAATTAGGGTTGCTTTTAAATGGGCCCGGCCCAGCAACAAATAAATAATATGGTTTAAATTACCTTTGTATTAGAGTGAGATATGAGAGAGAAGAGAGAAAAAGCTAAAAGAGAAAAGAGAGAAACAGATTCTGTTATTGCTTCATTGGAAAGGAGCATTATGCTCTATTTATACAAGAGGAGATGAACATTCAAGAGTTGAATCATTCAAGCTCTACAATTAAGGAAGACTTTTCTTATTCTATTAAATTAAGGCTGGACTTAATTATTCTATAGTGCTGATTATTCATATTCTAAGATATAACTCTAATACTCCCCCACAAGCTCAAGGTGGCTGCAAAGGCTGACTTGAGGCAGACAGGTTGAGCTTGCTGCTGAGCTCCATAAATCTTGAACATGAGAGAGGCTTGGTGAGGATGTCAGCCTTCTGGTCAACACCAGGAATGTGGCAGACAGTGAGAGACTTATTAATCACCTTTTCTCTTACAAAAAAGAGGTCAATTTCCATATGCTTTGTTCTTGCATGAAGAACAGGGTTATGAGCCATAGCAACTGTGCTCTGGTTGTCACAATAGATGGTTGGAGTTGTCAAGGGAATTTTTAGTTCAGCTAGCAAAGTTTGAACCCATAAAACTTCAGCTGTGGTGTGAGCCAAGCTGCGATACTCTGCCTCAGCACTAGAACGAGCAACAACAGTTTGCTTTTTGGACCACCAAGAGATCAAATTAGGGCCTAAGTACACAGCTGACCCAGAGGTGGATCTTCTATCATCTGGGTCAGCAGCCCAGTCAGCATCACAATAGGCTTGCAGAGAGAACGGAACAGTGGAGGCTGGAGTGAACAATAAACCAGAGGTGATAGTTCCTTTTAGGTAGCGCAGAATACGCTTGACAGCTAGCCAATGGGACTCCAAGGGGTGTGCCATGAATTGACATACTTTGTTAACAGCATAGCAGATTTCTGGCCGTGTAATTGTTGCATACTGCAGGGCCCCTACAATGGACCGGTAGTGGGAGGCATCAGACAAGGCAGCAGACCCTGTTTTGATGAGTTTGGTGGAGGAAGCCATAGGAGTAGCAACTGGATTGGAATTCTCCATATCAGTTTTGATTAGCAAGTCCCTTAGGTACTTAGATTGAGTGAGAAGGAGATTTCCATTGGACAATTTCTTCACCTCAAGGCCCAGAAAATAATCCAAGTCACCAAGTTGTTTGAGAGCAAACACATGATTTAATTGTTGAGTAACTTGCTTGATGAGAGGAGGGGAGTTTCCTGTGATGATTATATCATCAACATAAACCAGCATATAAATGACAGCATTGTGATGCTTGTAGATGAAAAGTGAAGTATCACACTTGCTGTTTAGAAAGCCAAAGGATAAAAGAGTGGTTTTGAGTCTTTCAAACCATTGCCTCGGAGCTTGTTTTAGGCCATACAAGGCCTTGTGCAAGTGACAAACCAGAGATGAATTAGGGGCAGTAAATCCAGGGGGCTGCATCATATAGACCTCCTCTTCAAGAATGCCATTCAAAAAGGCATTGTTTATGTCCAACTGCTGCAAAGGCCAATTGTAAGTTAGAGCAAGAGTCAAAATAATTCTAATTGTGACCGGTTTAATAACAGGGGAGAAAGTTTCATTAAAGTCAAATCCATGGACTTGATGGAACCCCTTAGCAACAAGCCTAGCTTTGTACTTATTTACTGTCCCATCAGCATTTTCCTTTACACGAAAAACCCACTTGCAGCCTATTGCTTTCCTGTTAGCAGGCAGTGGTACCAAAGACCAAGTGTTGTTCCTTATCAAGGCACCATACTCCTCTTGCATAGCAGCAAACCACTTAGGATCTTGGAGAGCAGTTTTAACACTCTTAGGCTCAGAATTGACAAGAAAAATGGAAGGATTTAGACGAGGTAAGGGTACACCAGATTTAGTTCTAGTAGTCATAGGATGAGTATTGGTGGGGAGAGGCTGAAGGTTAGGATCCCTAGGAGCATAAATAGAGGAGGAGGATAGTGAAGTGGTAGTAGTAGGCTGATTGTTGGCATTTGAAGAGGGTGAAGGAGTAGGATTAGTGCTGGCTGTTTGTGTTATAGGGGTTGCTGACCCAGAGGCAGTAGGTGTGGGGCTGGAATTGGATTGGGAAGAAGAAGAGGAGTGTGAGACAATAGGTGTGGGGCTGGAATTGGAGTGAGAAGAAGAGGAGTGTGAGACAATAGGTGTGGGGCTGGAATTGGATTGAGAAGAAGAAGAGGAGTGTGAGGTAGTGGAAGCAGTAGGAACGGGAAAAACATGAGGGAGAGCTTGTGTGTTAAGGGTTACTTTAGATGAGGAGGAGGATGGAATGGTTGATGAGGGGAGAGAAACATTAGAGGAAAAAAGATCATTGTAAGGAAATTTGGACTCGTTGAAAAGAACATCTTTAGAGATGAATATTCTACCACTTGGAGAGAGACATTTGTAACCTTTGTGAGCTGTAGAGTACCCTAGAAAAAGGCACTCGTGGGATCTAAAGTCAAATTTTTGAGAGTTGTATGGGCGAAGGAGAGGAAAACAAGCACACCCAAAGACTTTAAGGAATTTATAGTCAGGATTTTGATTGAAAAGGACAGCATATGGTATATGTTGATTGAGAGACATGGTTGGTAACCTATTTATTAGGTAGACAGCGGTTAAAAAGGCATGGTCCCAAAATTTGAGAGGTAAAGAGGCATGACTCAAGAGGGTTAAACCAAGATCAACAACGTGTCTATGCTTCCTCTCCACTACACCATTTTGGTGATGAGTGTGAGGGCAAACTAGGCGATGAATAATGCCAAGATCAGAAAGAAACTTTGTAAATGGGCGAAATTCACCACCCCAATCAGTTTGGACAGATTTAATAGGAAATCCAAATTGTAATTCAGCCATGACTTTGAATTGTTTAAAGATAGTTAAGGCTTCAGATTTATTTTTGAGCAAATAGATCCAAGTAAATCTGGTGTATGCATCAACAAAGGTGATGTAGTAGGTAAAGTTTTGGGAGGATTTGACTGGGGCAGGACCCCATAGGTCACTGAAAATTAATTCAAGAGGAGAGTGATATTGAGTTTGTGACTGAGGGGAGTGCAGCCTATGTGCCTTTCCCATACAGCAGGCAGAACAAAAGATAGATTCAGCTTTATTAGAATAAGGAATATTACATTGAGCTAAAACAAGTCTCATAGTATTAGAATTTGGATGACCAAGGCGTAAATGCCAAGTATGTTGAGAATTATATGAGTTATTAGCTGATACATTTTGATTAGAAACTGAAACCCTATCACTAGTGCTGGAATCAGATCTTGAAACATGAGCATTAGAGTCTAAGGTGAGACATGAGACTTGACTTGTTGAAGGAGACTTAAGAAGCTGAAGATGGGAAAATTGGTACAGGCCATCACTTCCTACACGACCTTGGAGCAGAATTTCATTGGTAGCCTGAGATTTGACATAGCACATATCAGCATGAAACTCAAAGAAAACTCTATTATCAAGACAGAATTTGCTGACACTTATCAGGTTCTTTGTAATAGAAGGAACAAGCAGTAAATTATGAAGAGCTAATGGAGTGTTAGGTTTAGAATGAGAAGGAAAATAAGAAGAGCCTGAAGAGTGAATGTGCAAACCTTGACCGTTACCAATGGAGATCTGATCAGGACCTTCAAAAGGTGTGGTTTGCTGTATGTTTTGAGAGGCATTGGTAACATGATAAGAAGCTCCTGAGTCTGGGAACCAGGCACTGCTTGGAACTGAAGTTGTGTTAGCAATCATAGCATTGAGAGTGATATGTGACTGAGGAACAGGGAGAGGGGCAAGTCTTGGTTGATAGCTTGGGCGTGACCGAGTGTTAACCATGGGCTGAGCAAACTGAGGTCCACCAATTGGTTGATACGGATAGAAATTTTGTAGGTTCATTGTTTGAAAATCAGCAGGTATGTTAGGTTGAAATTGTTGATTGAACCTATGATAGCAGTTAGCAGCAAGATGACCATATTTGAAGCAAACTTGACATTGAATGTTGCTGAACCTACCTCTCCCACGGCCGCGTCCACCACCACGGCCAGCTGCACGGCCTCCTCTTGAATAGGTTGGATTAAAGGTTGAATTCACAGCTTGTTCATTGTTCTTGTTATTCGAGTTATCAGTTTCAGGTTGAGAATTGGCTTGAGTGAGATTCACTGAGGCAGCCACCTCCATTTGTGAGTGTTTCTTATACTTGTTGTATCTCATCTCATGAGCAAGAAGAAGAGCTTCAACTTCTTCAAGTTCTACTGAATCAAACTTGCTTTCAATAACTGAAATAACAGAGGCAAAGTCTTGAGGAAGACCTTCAAGAATCACATCAATGTGTTGCTGATCTGGAACTGGATCTCCTACTGAAGCAAGCGCGTCAACAAGAGCTTTGATGCGAACCAGATAATCACCAACAGATTTGTCTTCAAGTGTTGTAGATCTGAGTTCCGCTCGTAGTTGTCTTGCTTTCGCACGTGTAAGCTTTTGAAAATGCGCAAGAATACGTTCCCAGAGCTCGTAGGAATGAACGCATCCAAGAACACGTGAAAGAATTGAAGGTGAAAGCGTGGATTGAAGCCACGTCATAAGCCACTGATCTTGCGTAATCCAGGTGCGATACGCAGGGTTCTCACGAGCAGCGGCACGATCTTCATCAGTCAGGTATTGATTCGGTATGTCACGAAGGTAAAGGTAGTTTTGAAGATTGTTCGCGTTAACGAAAGGATCTACTTGTTGGCGCCAAAGTAGGAAATTCTTCTCATCAAGTTTTTCTGTGATTTTGAGTTGGAAGGACATAGATGTTGGGGTGGCCGGAGCTGTAGTTACTGGAATCGCTGCCATGGATAGAACCGAAGCTCTATGATACCATATTAGAGTGAGATATGAGAGAGAAGAGAGAAAAAGCTAAAAGAGAAAAGAGAGAAACAGATTCTGTTATTGCTTCATTGGAAAGGAGCATTATGCTCTATTTATACAAGAGGAGATGAACATTCAAGAGTTGAATCATTCAAGCTCTACAATTAAGGAAGACTTTTCTTATTCTATTAAATTAAGGCTGGACTTAATTATTCTATAGTGCTGATTATTCATATTCTAAGATATAACTCTAATACTTTGTCACAATAAAGTTCTCTAAGTTCCCAATAATGAGTTAAAAAAAAACTTCCAATAATACCTGGCTACGTATTAAATTAAGGGTTCTCCCAATTATATCTGTCCAAGTTATATTTTAGTATTGCTTTTTTCATTAAATGATTTTGAATATTTTCACCCCTTGACATTGATGGTTTTCTTTTTTTATTACAGTATGCCATAATACCTTATTATTTTATTATTATGCAGGTTACATGGCCTTCAGTCTGAAGCAGTTGGAGCTCCTGAAGTATATTGATCTATCACATATATTTTTCAATAATTTGTAATTTAAGAACTTCCTTTAGCTTGAATATGTTTATTATGGGCAAATAAGTGTGGCGAAATGGTTTTTCATTCCAAATGTATAAGAACATGGAGGAGACACGAGAAGATGCAGGGCCGTCAGAACAAGGGTCATCTAATGTCAACGTATCATGGTGGCCTTCAGATTTTGTTGAAAAATTTGGATCTGTTGCTTTGGATTCACAAGACGAGACAGTAATTAATAAAGAATCTTCTAGATACTCTGACAAAGATGTTTTGTCACCTCTGAAAGCATCACAAACTCTTTGGCGCACTGGAATGCTTTCAGAACCAATACCAAATGGTTTTTATTCAGTCATTCCGGTGAGAATTAATTTATACATTACCTTCTTAATGCAATGCAAATGCTAATTAGATTGATAGGGTGTTGTGCATTACGACAGTGTGTCAAATATTAAACTGATGGTCCAAGTATTAGTTTAGTATTACTAATAAAATGCCCAAAACCTCTAAATACACCAAGAATATTAACCCTTATTACATACAATAAGTAACCCTTATTACATAAGGAAACAATTTGGGTAAATATATATGAAATTAAGAAACATCTTCTTAGATTTCTTTCTCAATTAGATGACCAGTTGATTTCTAAATATATACCGAGACAATCTAAAGCTCATCTAAATATATTCTCTAAGATATTTCCAAAAAAAAATTCTAACAGAACTTATATTTTTTTCTGCATCTGAAAGGGTTCAAATACCCCTTCACAGCCTCACCAGTAACTATTCCAAAACTAGCTATAATGTCAAAATGACAAAAGTTGTTTATGCATCTGGATGGGGCTGAGTTCCAGTCAAAAGTGATTTTATGTAATAATTCTTCTTAGAATTTGGGCTTTAGGCCTAATTCATTCCAATGAACTTGGCTTGTAAGGTGGGGAATGCTCAAACCTTATAACCATTATCTAAGTCATATCTCTAATCAATGGGGGACTTTAAACCCATCAACACTCAGAACTGAAAATTTGAATTATGGATTAATGCGTACCTAATAACAAGGATCTTAACACCCTCTCACACCTAGGGTTCACATCTGAAGCGTAGACAAATATGGGTTGATTAAAAGAGATCTTGGACTAATAACAAATTTAGGATGAGCTCTAACAAGAACTTAAAATTGGGCTCTAGACCCAACTCATTCTCATAAAACAGACTTAAAAGGTGAGGATTTCTCAAACTTTATAAGCACCACTTAAGCCATATCCCTAGGCAATGTGAAACTCTCAACAATTCTTATAATCAGATAAAGAAGACCCCGTTGTGAACCCAAGTTTTTTTTTCTGTTTGTCTATATGAGTGTTATTAGAACATTGATTTCTGTGAATATAGATAGTTGGTGTAAATAAGTCGAGCCGGATAAATACTTAAAGCCCGAGCTTGGCTTGAGAAGCAAATGAATGGCTTGACAATTGACATTGACTCATTTGTTCAAACTAGCTTAACTAAAATCTTGGGCTAGACTCGTTAAATATTAGTAAAGCTTGGGCTTGGCTTGTTAAGGATTCCATAATTTTTGACAAACAGAAAATTCAGTATATTTTGGAATTCAGCTCTCGTCACAGTATATTTTATTTGGAAGTGTTGTTCAGTAATTTTTGAGAATATGGACCACAATAGCAATGGTACTGTCAATCAGATGAAAGCTCTTGATGGTAGCTGAGCATATTTTAGCACACTTTATCAAACGTTCTTTTTGATATTTAGCTGTCAAGCCCTTTTTACTTTTTAGTTTCACACTGCTGTTTGATAACATCTCTACTCATTCATGGATTATAGCATGTGTTTGAGTTTGTTGCTGGTGACTGGTGTCCTGACTCTTCATGTGTGATTATAATGATTATTCCATCTCACTGTATCCTGACTCTTGATGTGTGATTATAATGATTATTCCATCTCACTGTATCCTCATTAATTAATTTCTGATTATGTGCAGGAGACAAGACTCAAAGAACTTTTTGATAGTATTCCTACCTTGGACGAGCTTCATGCTTTGGGCGGAGAGGGTTATAAAGCCGATATCATTCTCGTGGATTTAGAGAAAGATAAAAAGCTATCCATGTTGAAACAACTGATTGTGGCATTAGTTAAAGGATTAAACTCAAATCCAGCTGCAATAATTAAGAAGATAGCTGGATTGGTACGTATTTACTGTATTCAATTACGCGAGTTTTAGTCATCTAAAACTTTGAATTCAAGAAATCATTTCATTGTGAGTATTACTGCCAAGTCTGTTGACGGGCATTACAGGGATTAAATCAATCGTATGATAACCTTTTTTTAATTGTCTTCATCTATTATTTAGTTTACTTGCTAAGCATATTTAAAGATGTTTTGCATTTATTTTGACCTCTATTTTTTGGACAGGTTTCTGATTTTTATAAGCGACCCAGTGTGGAAAGTCCAGCAAAAGCCGCGTTCGATGAAACCTCTCACATTTTTGAGAATCGAGGCGTCCAGATGCTGGGGCAAATAAAGCATGGTTCATGTCGTCCTCGGGCTATCTTATTTAAAGTATTAGCTGATACTGTAGGTCTTGAAAGCAGACTCATGGTGGTAAGCTCTGATTTCCGTTGAACTCAAAATTTCTGTGCCATACTAAGTAATAAGACTCTTACCTGCTAGTCAAAAGAATTATTAGTAAATTTTCAATCTTGTTTACCAGTTTACTTCTCTCTTTTTACTTGGCAAGATAAGGACTGGATTTGTTGTTGTTATTCAATTTTGTTCACCATCATTATTTAATTTTTGAAGAATATGTCTTGTACCCATTGTTTTCTTTACCAGGGCTTGCCAAATGACAGGGCTGTTGAATGTGTAGATTCATACAAGCATATGTCTGTTATAGTTGTATTAAATTCGGCGGAAATGCTGGTTGACCTTATGCGATTTCCGGGTCAATTGTTACCAAAATCAACAAAGGCAGTTTTTATGAGTCATATACCCGCAGCAGGAGAGAGTGATTCAGCAGAAAATGATTCATGTGATTCGCCGTTAGAACCAAACAGTCCTTTATTTGAAGTTTCAGAGAGGTTAGTTCTCAACAGGTTTGAAAACTGTTGCTATTGTTGTTTGGGCTTACTATAGTTTTGTTTCCCCTCAGTTTGATTTTGGTCCCCCTAATTTCAATTGTACAATGCTGTTGTAGTTTTCAATTGCTGCAATTAAGCTCTCTTGTTAGGTTAATGTAGATGCATGTGATACTGTGCTACCTAATCTCCAAACCATCAAATTCAATTAGCAAAGAGAATATGTGAAGCAAAATGGTATGACAATATCTAAAATTAAAACAAACTTATGGGGGACTTGAATTATAACAAATATGAGTTTAATAACCGAGGATAACACAATTGCAAATGCGAATATGCGGAGCAAAATCAGATTTAGTGAAATTGAGATGCCTAAAAGTGTCATAAACATGGTTATCAAAATCACGATCTAAATCTTAAAATCTAATGATTTTACAATTTTACTCACCCCCAACAATCTAGATCTTAAGTAGAATAGTGTGTTGTAATCAAATTGAGAACAAAAATGGTAAAACCAATGATAATGTGCGATCGGCCAAATTCGGCCATAATCGACCATTTTTCGGCCACCACCATTACAAGCAGAGAAGGAACAATTTCGGTTCAGCAGCGTCCATTTTCCCACGAATACACTTGCCTACGAAAATATCATCTAGAAATACTTCAAATTTATACTATTATTTTCCGTTAATTAGTATCTTACGTTTTTTCTTACGATCTTATGTTTTGCGATCTTGCTACCCCCTCTCGATCTTACAAAAATAATTGAGTAGGATCTTTCGATCTTAGTTACGATCTTATATTTTACGATCTTACCATCCCCTCCCGATCTTATACAAGATCCCGATTTTGACAACCTTTGTCATAAATCCTTTTGCTATATACTTTTGATTTCAGCTGCTAATGATGCATTTACCATGCAACTGTGAAGTTGATCTTACACTGAACGTCGGATAAAATATATCCTTCATGTATTTTCATTAAGTGAACTGTGAGATTATAGGTACAACGCCTTTAGGCCTCCATCATTATAGCTGTTCTTCCAGCTACTATAGTTGTCAACTGATAGATATTGGTTTACTTTGTCCCCTCTTACAGTGCTGAGAAGGAGGAAAACCTTCAATTCCATAAAAGATTTGATGCGTCTTCAAATGTAACAGGCCTTTCCTTGAGAAATATGATGTTACGAACAAATAGCAGTTTGAGGTATTATTTTCCATTGCTTATCCTGATATGTTTAGTGCTACTTTTCCCATTGTTTCATCTCTTCTTCACTCTCAGTTTCACTATTGTTAGGGTCAATTTTTTATATTTAAGAAAATTTGTTTTACTAGAATCTTTAAAAATGTACTGTACCAACTATTTCTTGTTAAGTGATTCTGTCAATTATCTCAGTTTGTCTCATAGTGAACCCAATATTGCAACTGCATTTGGTCGGCGTAGTCGGAGAAAGGTTATTGCTGAACAGAGGACAGCTAGTTCAAGGTTATTCATAATTTCTTTTATTTTTTTTGGAATGATGAATAGGTGAATGTTAGGTTTTGGTTCAGTACACATAATCTGTATCATTCCTAACCTTGGTTTTCTTTTTCTAAACTTAATCAATCACGGTTCTTAAAGAAGCTTAAAGATTTTAGTTTTATTTTTATGTACAGCCTTTTACTTATCTTGTATGACAGTTTTGGTATATCTCGACTCTGATTTGCATTTTTTCTCTTGGTCTGAGTGTGAAGTTTTATACTGCTGATAGAGCCTAGATATTGCCGACACTACAACTTATAACTAGGACATGTCAGTTTTGTCTTTCTAACTGATTTTTGTATCTATATCATTTTCGTGAACTCAGTGGCAATGGTATCTAAACAATCTCCAAATC